CCCCAAAACCCCAAAACCCCAAAACCCCAAAACCCCAAAACCCCTAGATGCATTAGTATACACATTGAAAGCGAGTTTATTAAAGGTAAAGCAATTAAATAAATCGCTAAAAATATAAAGCTCCAATATAGTAAGGTGGGCCAATTAAATGAGTCCACTCTATCACTTCTTCTTCTTCTTCTTTTTCTTTCCCTTTCTAGCCTTCTCCATTTCTCTTCTGGCTAGTAGTCCTCTCCAATGAGCCTATACCCAGTCGGCAGCTCTGTGAAGTAGATTCATCTACTTTTGCTGTTCTTCGTTCTTTCTCTTCATAATAGTGAGTATCTCCTCTCGCTTCTTGCGTTCCTCGAACCTCTGTTTATACTCTTCTGATATTATAAGCAATTCGTGATGCACCTGGTCGAACTACTCCTAAGTCTGTTCCTTGGCTTTGCTTTGCTGCTTCATCTCAGTATCGTAGCTCTAAAGATTGTCAGTATAGACTCTGTCTGCACGCTTGTAGTCCTCTCTTAACTTTTGCTCGTCAGTTTTGTTCTGCTTCTTCAGCTCAGCTAGTTGATTTTCAAAATTAGCAATACTTTTCTTGAGTCTATCAACAGTCTCATCGTGAGTCTTCTTTAGTCTATCATGTCTATTCTTGCCAAAGTCACCTAACTCCTTTAGTCGCTGCTCCTTTTGAGCATTTTCATCAGCAATAGTCTTCTTCAAGTTCTGAATTTCATATTCTCTCTGCTCCTTTTGCTCCTTGGATTCTTCCTCATACTTTTGCAGATGCTCCTTCTTTTGATCTCTGATTTCTTTGAGCTTCTGAGTACGGGATTGAAGCATTCTTAACTACTCTTTGATTGATTGCTCTTCTTCGAGTGGAGTAGTTAACTTAGTAAGCCAAAGAGTTTTTAATTATTCGAAGGTCTCTATGAAACCAGCAAATTCATTCGATCTTTAGTCTCCAAATGTAGCCTTTAGCTTAACTTGTAATGCTGGCATAGAGAAGTGACGAACTAGATTGCTTATGGTCTTTCTGATATCGATTGCAACCTTTCTAGACTCTTCTTGCAGGTACTCGTCATCAAGAGCGTACATCTTGCTATCAGGTCCGATGTTGTTTTATTTGAATGACTACTCCAGTAGGGCATGTCTGTACAGTAACTATCCGATTTGCTAGCCAAACACGTTGCCTATATTCAATTAACACTCAGATTAACATCAGTTAATTATATAATTGCTTGATTCAGCCTGTGAGGAGTAACTGTTTCAAAATATGAAATGAATATCGCTACTTACAGATATCTTCCTCTTCTTTTTTCGAGATCTCCTCGAAAAGTTCTTGATTCAGCAGTGATAGCACTCTGATCTTCTCTATAGTAAGGTTATTAGTATCACTTTAAGGATGAGAAGGCAGCTGGAGATGAGGATGGGTACTTACGGACTGTCTCGTTGAGGATCTTGTTTACACGCTAAGCCTCAACGTTGATCGGCTTTGACATTTTAAAGCCTCTCTATTTCAAATAAAGTTAATTTATTATATAAACTATCACTCCCCTGCTCAAATTCAAATACTTTCTTAGGGGTTTTGGGGTTTTGGGGTTTTGGGGTTTTGGGG